AAAAAAAAAAAAAAAAAAAGTATCTAGTCTATGATCCAAAAAGTTTCACTCCTAGGTATTTACCCAAGAGAAATGAAAATATATGTCTGCAAAAAGACCTATACAGTGTGTCCATAGCTGTCTTATTCATAGTAGCCTCAAACTGGACACAACTCAAGGGCCCATCAAAAGCAGAGGCAAATTATCGTGTGTCCCTGCACAGTGAAGAGAAACAAAGGGCTGATGCAACATGAGGATGTCTCAGAGACAAGCTGCACTTAAGAAACCATGCTAAAAAACAAACACACAGAAACCCGCATCATGACATTTATAGAATGTTCAAGAACTGATGAAACCAGTCCACGGTCACAAAAGCCAGAAAGTGGTTGCTTCTGGGGACCAGAAGGGAAAGGGGCATAAAGGGACCTTTTGAGGTGAATAGAAATTTCTGCATCTTGGTTTGGGACACATGCCAGAACTCACCAGGCGAACATTTAAGATCTTGCATTTTTATTATACACAAACTATATCTCAAATAACCTAAAAAACGATGCTTGTGACAGGTGTTCCCAGGTTCCGTGCAGGGAGGTGAGGGGCCACCACCTGCCATGAGGAGGCTGGGAGGCATCCTGGGGAGGGGAGGCCATGTTGGATCGGGGTTTCCAGGCAAGATTTGGAATAGCAAGGGGAGGGTGAGCCCAGTGGAGGGCTAAACCTGGCCAAAAGCCTGGAGATAAGAAAGAGCTCAGCCTTGGTTTCAAGCACCAACGGCCTAAAAAGGAAACCCAGTTATTTAACAGAATCCATTCTCTTTGAAGGCTCAGTGTGTATCTGAGACAAGACCATTTTCTCCTCTCCAGTGCAAGCTTCTTCATGGACTTTGTTCAGATTTCAATTTTATAATAGCTTTTTGTATTCCCCTCATCAGTATACTTTTTTTTGTTCCAACTGATGAATTATTCTTGGTACTTAGTTTTAAAAAAATTATTCAAGAGTATTGCCTTATTAAAATAACTTGATGCTTTCTTTTTTTCTTTCTCTCCTTGAAACATAAAAGCTACAGATTCTCGTTGACACTGGAAGCAGTAACTTTGCCGTGGCGGGAGCCCCGCACTCCTACATAGACACGTACTTTGACACAGAGAGGTAAGCGCTGGCCCCTTGGCTGGTGTGCTGGGCTGGGGTACTGCATGATCCACATGCTTCAAAATGCAGCGGAGCATAACAGCCAGAAAGCTGTTTCATTTTAAGGGGGATACTGAAACGGATGTGTATGTACATGTGCGTGTACATACATGTGGACAGGTGTATGCATATGTGCATGTTCATTCCATCCTCAAATTCACAGCAGGGGTCTCCTGATAGCCTTCACGCATTTACGTGAGATTCGTTTTCTAAAAATCCAAGTCAAACACAACTCCTGTAGTTATCCAAGTCACAGGGAGCTTGTGGCCCTTTGGTGGTTATTGCAGCAGCTTTAGTTCTGCAGTGGAGGTGGGCTGGAGCAGGGGACAAGGTCTTGGGAGTCTGTGAGGCCACTCTGGCCAAGGGTGTGGGGTCGCTTCCTCGGCTGAAGGGATACATGGAAACCCCCCTTCACATAGTTCAGTAGGGGTTAAGGTGTGGTTCCTGGAAGCCGTTTCTGTGGGTTGGTTTGCAACACTCATTTGGAAGAGTGAGTTTTGTGAGCACAAAGTATTAAGGGCCAAGACTGAGGCTGCACATGAACAATTATGGGGTGGAGTTGAGAAAAAAAAGTGGAGCCAGATGGAGGTCTCTGGAATAGAACAAGTTCTGTCCATGCAGGCTTCAGAGCAGCCCTGGGTGGGGTTTGGGGAGGCCCCCAGTGGCCTGTGGCAGCCTTCAGCTCTGCAGGAGCCCATGGGGTCTAGAGTCACCGCCCTCTGAACTGGAAGCTGCTCAAATGCTGTGCATGTTTTGATGTCACAACTATTTTTACGATCCTGAAATTTAAACTCAACAGACAGAACAGATAAGCTGACGTGCTGGTTCGTTTTTTAGGGTCATGAATCATCTAGGGTCTCGGTAACTGTCATATTGGGTTTCCCTACTGTAAATTCTTTTCCTTACTTCCCTTTCTCACTTTCCTTATCCTTAGTGCTTTGTTCCAGGGAATAAAGGCCAGCTCTAGTTGGGGACAAAAGGAGGGGGAAGAATAGCTGAAGTCTTCTGAAAATGCCAGGCAATTTAATAAAGCGAGATGATTTGCCGTGTATGAAAGAAAGCATAGAGGAAACCCTGTATATCTATTCTACCTACGCCACATCCTGGGCTCCACTTTGGTGCCATAAATGACGGGGCCTCCTACACGTATGGCTACAGCTGCATGCTGGGGAGAGGGCTATGGTGGCCAGTGCTCTGTGAGGCTTCAGAAAAATGTGGCTGGCCCCTCCCTCAAGGAACTGATAGCTTGGTTTATGGCTTCATGTGTTGGTAAGCTTCCTTCATTGATATTCCCGGATATAACACCTGCCTGTGATCAGTATGTACCCAGCTGTTGCTATAACCACAAACGTGTGTAGAAGTAGTGGTGGTGTTTCTGTCTGTGTGTGCAGCAGAGGCTTGGTTTACGATGGCTTGTGCTGCCCCTTCCCACTCAGATCTGTGATTCATCCAAGTCCTCAGTCCCCAAACAGCCCTCACCTCCAACTGTTCATTCTGGACTACTTCATCATGGAACAGGACTTGGAGTTGGTCCAAACCTCTCGTTTTGATTTCTGCAGCACAGGAGGTCAGGGAGACAGGGGACTTGCCCAAATTCAATCATTGAGACCAGCAGTCCCCAAACCTTCAGCCAACACCCGCTTTTTATAACAAGTGCTTTGTCATTCCCTAAAGTGACTGCAAAAGTCATATGACTTATCTACACACACAGCTCAAAGTGCCCTGATGTAATGTGGGGGGAATACAAGGGAAGTAATGTATAACCAGGTAATCAGAACCTCAATGCATGAACACCCTGGCTCCGTGGTGCTAGGAGATCATGCAATAGGTGGATGCTGGAGGTGAGTTAACATCACTGTGGACATGTACACCCAGCGTAGACTGATCAAGGCAGGCTGACTTAGACTCACCCACCCCAAGCTGCTCAGTTTGCTGTCTTAGTCTGTTGCACTACTATAAAAGAATATCCAAGGCTGGGTAATTTACAAAGAAAAAAGGTTTATTTGCCTCATGGTTCTGCAGGCTGTACAGGAAGCATGGCGTCAGGATCTCATGCTGCTTCTAGTCATGGTGGAAAGTGAAGCAGAGCCAGTGTGCAGAGATCACATGGGAGAGAGGAAGCAAGGGTAGGGGAAGGACGTGCCAGGCTTTTTTTTTAACAATCAATCAGCCCTCCCTGGAACTAACAGAGTGAGACTTCAGTCATTATTATGGGCAAGGCACAAAGCCATTCTTGAGAGATCTGACCTCAGCACCTAAACACTTTCCACCAGGCCCCACTTCCTATACTGGGGATCAAATTTCAACATGAGAATTGGAGGGGACAGATATCCAAACTCTACCAGTTGCTGATATGATTTTCCAAAATGGAAAATAATCTTAGGAAAGTTCCAAGTAAAACGAACAGAAAGAGAATCAGCTTCCCTGGATTTCCATAGTAGCGAATATGCAATATATACTAAACCTATGTAGAAAAGGTTTTGTGCACATGTGAATGGGAGGTGCATTCTGTGCTCAGATGATCCAGCAGATTTCACCCATGCAGATGCCCAGAGCAACTTTGGAAAGTGGTGTGGGATGGGAACAATGCTTCATTTTACATGACCGTCCCTCACATTCCAGGATAACCAGCATGCTTATCAAATACACCCCTAGAGTTTCCAAAACTTACCCTAGGGGACAGGACCTTCCTCTCTGAGAACCACTTATCTGAATGGTCCCTGATGGTCCCAGCCCTGTATTGTTTCCACTGCAGGGCTCTAGTCTGTGTGGCACGTTTTCCACATTTCCCCCTGACTGGGGCTCAGCACATAGGGGCAGAACCAACACACGTGGAGCTTGCATTTTCTCATTTAGCAGTTCTTTTCCCCTTAGGATAGGTTTTTCTCTCATCATCTGTAGATGCAAGATACAGTAGAAAACAGTAAAGCACAGTAAAGTCAAGGTTAGGGTGATGTGGATAATGACTTTCCAGATTTAAAGGGAACCATGTAAGTCAAGCCCTGTGGATGGCTACTTTTTTCATGGCAGGTAAATAGCAGTTCTGTGGCAGCTGCTCATAGCCAGAGTCCATCAAGGTCAAAGTATGCTTCTCAATCCACACATCCTTTCGCTATGCAGATGCAATTGTTGAAACCTTCAAGGGTAAATAATACTCCACATCATGAAGACTATGTGCAATATTTCATCAACCGTAGACAGCCCAGCATCTTTCTCGGCTCCCTTCAACTGTGTTCAGTGTTTGGTTGAGCTGTGGTTCTCTTTCAGGCTACCATGGGACACATCTGTCTTACTTACCTGCTAGCCCTGTTTGGTGTATTCAGGTGGATTTTGTACCCATCACCAGGTTTGCATTCAAATGGCAGATGGTTCCTGTTTTTCATCCTTTGGGCGTCTGTAGTCCGTATGCGTTTGATGAATATGAAAACTCCTGGGATCATCCAGAACTCCTTTGATGACTAAGCCTTCCCTCCTGCTAATCTCACAAGATAATTCAGGATTCCTTGCCACCATTCTGACCACTCAAGGTCCTGATCTGTTTCTTCTTTTGTGGGTGAAAAAAAAGAGAAATAACAGAACATACCAGTGTCTAGGGAAAGCCCCTCAATGGTCGGTTTCACCCCATTGCCACTTCCACCATTCAAATTCAGCGTACCTTCCTTATTCGCGAGTACTGCAGAGACTGACTTATTACGTATAACACATCGCTCACCTTTTGGGTCTCTACCCTGGTACCGCCTTTCTTTTCAAGAGACCATTCTTCAACAGAACTGTAAGGTTTCTTCTTGGCTGAATCAGAGATGATGCATCTCACTTCTGAGTTTGAGGTGAGTTCTATTCCTTCAACTACATCCCTGCTACCATGCTTGCTTCGCAAATTAAATACTTTCTTAGACTGATATTAACCTTGTTTCTTTTTATCTGCTTTTTACATGTTTTATTATGGTTGATATGCTTTATGATTGAAAGACATGAATATTTTCTTTCAATGTCAGTTATGTATAATTAATTTGTCTAATGTTTTCATCTAACTTTAGAGTTGGCCTAAGTTATACTTTCAACCATTGTATTTGATGGGAGCCAAGAGACCGTCCTTTTGCCTTCTCAATTTTTGACAAAGGTTTCTTTTCTGAGCTGCAGCTCTCTGCCCTGTGATGTGTCTGTATTTGCTTGTGCTTCTGATCTCTCTTAGTTATAATAAGGTTCTGGTTGGGTTTGTCCGCCTCTGATTCACGTCCTGTCTTTGGATATTCAGGTCTAATGCTTCCTGAAACATGTTACAGTAATTGGAGTTTTGGCGTGGGGTTCTTTGACAAGATCTCTTTGATTTATGGAATGAGATGTCAGGCTACCATTAGTCATTTGTGAGCTCGTCTTTATCAGAATCCATCTTTTCATGGTGGTGAATGTTCCAGTGAGTTACTATAGAGCAAAAAAGAAGAAAAGAAAAGATCATGCATTTTTTAAATGTACATCTTTTTTAGCCAATAAAATCTCACCTCCAACTAGCTGGCTTAAAGAGTGATCCAGTGTACTCATCCCTTGACCCTCCATGAATCTATTCAGGAAATTAAGTATATTTCCATTAAAATGTCTCCTTACTTCTGTACTATATCCAGGGTGAAGCTCACAGAGCAAAAGACCAGTGTATTTTCCTCAACTAATGCTTGTAAGTGGAATTAGGGACTTCTTTTAGAAGGCTAAACTGGATACAGATCAAATGGCTTTCCATTGAATGAGGACAGATATTTTTACCTGATTATTGAGATCATTTCTCAAGCGTGTCCATCATTTGCCTGATAGAAGGGCACTTGCCATTTTGGAGCCTGTGAGCATTTAACATTATTGAGGATGTTGATGAAACACCAGGCTGAGCAGGCTGAGCTGACCCTGAACCTCAGGGTCTCATGCATTCAGGTCTGGTGACTTCCAGAATCACAGAAGATTAAGAGGGGCATCTG